TTAGCCAATCTGGGAATAACAGGGAGATTGCTACACTGGATAAGGGATTACCTGCAAGGCAGAAAAGGTCAGGTGTATTACCAGGGATACATGTCTGAGGAACGGAGGTTTCAGTTAGGTACCCCACAAGGGGGAGTATTAAGTCCCACCTTATTCAATGTATTAATGAACAGATTAGCATCAGAGATGTATCCTCCAGGGGTCACGACGATCATATATGCTGATGACATTCTTATACAAGGCACTTCTGGGAACAAAATTCAAGATGCTCTTAACATACTTGGTACAACCTGTCACAAGTTAGGCTTAGTTATAAATGCAGATAAAACCAAATACGAGTATAGGAAACGAAGAAATATAACACTTACTCTAAATGGTGTGGAACTGAGCCGTGTACAGAAGTACAAGTATCTGGGCATGTATGTTGGATACACATGTGAGAGTAAAAATGCTGAAATAAATCATATCAGCACCTTATGTAAAGCCCGTCTGCATCCTCTAAAAGCACTGGCTTTTTCTGGTAAAGGTGTTGGGGTACCTATCTTGCGGATGTTATACATAAGCACTGTTCGATCCCTGATAGACTACGCAGCACCCGTATTGTCTTACACAGGCCAAGGCAGAATTCAAAAAATAGAGCTGATACAGAACGAGGCTATGAGGATTATTCTTGGATGTCAAAGAAATGCAATGATTGAAATAATGAGAATGGAATTAAATTTACAGAGTGTGTGTGATAGAGTCCGTGACATTAACACTAGAGTATCTATTCGTTTCATGCGGAGAAAAGGAGGGGATAAGCTGTTTGAGAGCGTTCAGACCTGCTTGAGTGACGTACACACTTCCAGGAAACTGAGGGAGACTCGCTATACGAGAGGATTAGCTCATGACCTCAGGGAATACGACGTACTTGACTGCTGTAAACCCTCTCGAAAGTGTAATATGTCTGCTCCCTGGAAAGTACAGAAAATAGACGTCGAAATTGTACCCCTCAAGGTGAAAAAGATTCATCATGAACCGGGACAATTACGGTGTTTGTATGGAAGCATGATATCTCGGTTACCAAGAGGCAACAGTTTACATGTATATTGCGACGGGTCGGTGGCGGAGGATGGCAGGGCAGGGTGTGGTGTCCTAATAAGGGATTATACGGAGTTTGGGACTGTGGACAGGATAATTGAACTCCGGCTTAGTAATTATATATCATCCACACAAGCTGAACTGCAGGCCATTCTGGCGTGTTTGGAGGAAGTACGTCATGACGACAAAAATGTTTTTGTATTTGTCGATAGCCGAGGAGCACTGGAGTCCTTAAACAGTAGAAACCCAGTCTTCATGTCTATAGTGGAGGACTGTAAGAGAAGAATAACTGAGATACAGCTGAAAGGTTATAGTGTGAAATTCATGTGGATTCCATCTCATGTTGGAATAGTGCTCAACGAGGTGGCGGATGACTTGGCCAAACGTGCCACATCAAAACCACAAGTTGACATTGAATGTGAATTCACAATGAGACAAATAAGAAGCAAAATCAGAAATATTCAGGCACAGGCGGGAGTGGAGAGGAGAGAGATAATGTATGAGAGTAGTCAAACCATGCAACACTACATGTATGTGAGTCAAAACACCCATTTCACTTATGGTAAAAGGAGAAATGCTTGGAGTGACTCTGTGTACATGCGGCTCAGGCTTGGGTACAAATATTACTGGGAATATGGGATAGATGTTCATGGTAATGACACGAAGTGTAAACTATGTGGTATGTTAAGGTCTCACACCCTTGCCCATTATATTCTTGATTGTCCGTTGATTAGTGTATATAGAAACACTGAGATAAGGACTGTTCCTGAACAAATAGCCTGGATGTGTCACAACGGAAAGGTTGATGATATTCTTGAGAGATATAAGAATTTTGCACCAAGATTGTAATATTTTGTTGAATTATCTGCAGGTGTCTTGCAAATTGTCTATACAGTATACCTAGGTCATAAAAGTATTTGTGTGTACGTCTGATACCATACTCCTTGTGAGGGAGGAAATGTATATTTTTACCTCTCAGAATGTTTGGTAATATGTTTATTTGTGATGTGTGTATATGTATATATTAACACGTTGTACTGAACGGGGTGAGAATAGCTTGAGCTACCTCATCCCTTTGTGTGTATTTTACCTCAATAAACTTATTTCAATTTCAATTTCAATTTCCAATCCCCTTCCAACTGAATCCCTGGCTCATATCCTCGTATTTTAATCCCTTTTCACCTTTGGAGTGAGCCGCAATTATATTTCTTAATCAAGCCAGTGTCAAGACAGTGAATTTGAATTAAATAATGGCGATAACCTTCACTCCCTTCTCTGTCTTATTAATTGTTCAATGTTTAAAACAAAGACATAATACAGAATCCACAAATGACACTTAAAAGCGCTCAAGCTCGTAGCAACAAAAATAGTTCTCAAATTCTACAGGAATAAAGATAAAAGGACCAGAGGCAGTGAGGCCTAATTAAAACAGAGACACGACAAAGACTTGGCTTTTAAAGACCAAATCTTTGTCTTGCAAGTTATACAAGGTTGGAATTTATACAAGTCTGGGATTTCAGAGACAATTTTCTCTGAAATCCCAGACTTGTATAACCTCCCAAAAATACATGAAGATGACTGACAAGAACATGGCAGGGCAGACCGGTCCTGAGTGGTCGTAGGGCCCGAGCTAGGTCGATTGATTGGATATGTACGACACTGTTAACCTCCCCCTTTCTCCTCAACTTCTCCCAGAACGCTTGAAAGATACGACGGATTTTTTTTAAGGAGGATCCAATAAGTTACAGCGCCCATACCAAAGGGAGCAACCTTGTTTTCCTTAGATGTAGCCTCTCGTTACCCAAATATACCAGAGAGAGAAGCAGCCAGGAAAGTAGCAGAATTTGTTGACACTAACATAGTATCAAGCAGGACCTCAGACGAGCAGGTGTCTTCAAGCCCTCGACCAAGGAACTCTTGGAGGAAGCCATCCTCCATGTCATGAGGGATACCCTCCTAACCTTTGATAACAGGTTAATTTCGACAAATTAAGGGTACAGCTATAGTAGCATCCAGTAGTGTGCTATAACGGAGATTTTTGTCCATGGTGTTCTAGTCAGCCAGGAGGCAGCGAGACCTCGGTCTAATCATATACTTACGTTCAGCCCGTCCTCCCAAAATGGGAAGGTAAATGGAGCAGCACAAGTAAGTGCAATTATGTACTATTCATAGCAGTAAGGAATTATACTTATTTTCACTTAGTATTAAACCGTGCTGTCAAATATATTGTGAATATTTGAGTTTACCTGAAAAGCTGAATAGAAAACCACGACGTAACGTAACCTTCTTAGTGCTTGAAGATAAGCATTTTATTGCTTCTTAATTACAATTAGTACTTAACCTATAGCTATATTGATATTACAGTTTTATGAACTAATAAAACAAAACTAAAATATATCAATAAATTGTAAAGTAACTCAGGATATTTTCAATTTTTTTATAAAATCTCTATTGTTTAATAAAACTGAAAAGACATTTAGTATTAAACCGTACTGTCAATTCGGAGGATGGGTTGCTTACGTTACATAGATGATATTTTCGGAAACATGGCTGGAAGACGACAAGAATTGGAACTGTCAACTGGGCTAATTCAGGAAAACTTGAAATTTCCCCTAGACAAGGATGAATCCACTATTTCCTTCCTGGACACCAGAGTTTACATTGAAGAACCGAGTAGAAGCCTACAGACCACTATCTACTACAAGCCAAGAAATCTACACTCATACCTTAATTTATCGTCGAGTCATCCTCAATCGTTCAAGAAATCGCTACTCTACACTTCTTTTGTATACGTACAAAACGGATCATCGCATTAACGACCGACTCAAGTTCAAGTACGTTAATTGAGAAAATAAAATACATCTCAAAGGGATAGAGTAGCTTAGGCTATTTCTACCCGAAGCCCTGGAAGACTTGAGCTGGTCGTGTAAATGTTTGGTAATTATAGGAGCTGGTCGTACAAATGTTTGGTAATTATAGGAGCTGGTCGTACAAATGTTTGGTAATTATAGGAGCTGGTCGTACAAATGTTTGGTAATTATAGGAGCTGGTCGTACAAATGTTTGGTAATTATAGGAGCTGGTCGTACAAATGTTTGGTAATTATAGGAGCTGGTCGTGCAAATGTTTGGTAATTATAGGAGCTGGTCATGCAAATGTTTGGTAATTATCGAGCTGGTCGTACAAATGTTTGGTAATTATAGGAGCTGGTCGTGCAAATGTTTGGTAATTATAGGAGCTGGTCGTGCAAATGTTTGGTAATTATACGAGCTGGTCGTACAATGAGAACATCTGTCTGGTTGTCACATGTTGTTTAGGGTTATGTTCTTGCGGGGGAAGTTGTAGTCGAGCTGCGTGCGTTCCACTTTTGTTGACTATAGAAAACATTCACAGAGAGGTTGTATTGATTAAAGTCTAGTTTTCACTATATTTGTTGCACTTTGTTGTATTTTGTATTTCATGTAACAGTTCCGATATGTCCGAGGACAAGAACCCCCAAATTAGCGGCGAGTTCTCTGTCATCGATCTAGAGTTGTGAGTTGTGAATGGCGAGCCTCCACACACACACATGCAAGTTTCCTCACAGATTTGGCTGGAACATCTTTCAAATGTCTGCTCTGGGAGAGGTTTTTATAAATATATACGGCTAATAAACTAATATAACTTAATTGTTGATATGTCACATGTGCTATTTAAATTTCAACCTTATCCTAGTGCGGTATATAATTATTGAATAATAATACTAATACTAATACTAATAATAATAAATAACAATAATAATAATAATAATAATAATAATAATAATAATTATTATTATTATTATTATGAATGGAATTCAGTAAGAGAGTGTGGGCGAGGAGAATGGCAACAAGTGCGGCGTGCCTGGCAGCGTGGCGGGCGCCGGGGGGCTCACTACCGTGGTAGACGTCGTCGCTCGTGTCATGGCCGTCTGTCCTCTCCCCGGTAGGTTGAAAGTTCTTTTCTCTTGTAACTAATAATGCCGTAGTATATACTGAGGGCGGGAGGATAAGTTTAGTAGGTATGGTCAAAGCCTTTGGTAGCCAGCATTAGACTTGTCTTTTGTACGTAGGACAGAAATGCATCATGCACATTGATCGTTATCTCAATCTACAATATTTTGTATTTTACAATGAAAGCATTCACCCTCATGAGCCGTGCCTATTGCCGCTTTTACATGATTTACATATTTTTTGGCAAAATCTAATTAATTTTCTTGTGAATACATAAATACATATTGAATTACAATGAATACATAACCGCGAAAAGTATCTCGCTAAAAGTATTTGTGGCGATGTTAAATGAAGGCTTCGTCTCGTAAAGGGCTAGGCTGCTTTGTTTAGTGTCTACCATGATTCACTGTTAGAAGGTAACTAACTATCCTGGGAACACAAAGTGTCCGCACTTCAAGCTATAATTTAGATTATTTAGTTTGGTTGTCGCCTAACATTAGGGTAAACGACGATCGGTATACACACACGCGAGAAATTGAAATAAGTTTGTTGAAATAGGTAAAATACACACAAAGGGATGAGGTAGCTCAAGCTATTCTCACCCCGTTCAGTACATCGTGTAAATACATACAAAAGACACTTCACAAGCAATAAACGTATTACCGAACATTCTGAGAGATAAACATATACATTTCCTCCTTTACACAAGTACACACGCGAGAAATGCTAGTGATGAACATAAGTGGCCTGACAGCTGAGTGGACAGCGCTCGGGATTCGTAGTCCTAAGGTTTCCGGTTCGAACCCCGGCGGAGGCAGAAACAAATGGGGCAGAGTTTCTTTCACCCTAATGCCCCCTGTTCACCTAGCAGTAAACAGGTACCTGGGTGTTAGCAGCTACGGGCTGCTTCCTGGGCAGGTGTAACAAAAAGGAGGCCTAGTCGAGGACCGGGCCGCAGGGACGCTAAGCCCCGAAATCATATCAAGATAACATTGTTTTCACTTTCAATATTTGTACGACTTTTGTTTGCTTTGGAAAACTTAACTTGTCTCATTGGAAAATGTTTGTGCTTAAGATTACATGGAAACAGTTCTGTCAGGTGATGTTTTGACAGTTGTTTTGATGTTTTGATTTGACAGATGTTAATCATATACTTGGCGTTTATGAATAGTTTAGTAGGTGTTGTTATTGAGTTTCCTTATTTGAAGACTTATTCTCGTGCATTTGAAATATTGAAATTGTTATGATGTGAGTGGAGAAAATGCCAAGACGGAAGGGACATTCCTCCTGTTCCTGGTTCAGAAGGAAAAGATATTCCTTTTGATCCTGGCTCAGACGGAAAAGATATTCCTCTTGGTCGTGTTCAGAGGGAAAAGATATTCCTCTTGGTCGTGTTCAGAGGGAAAAGATATTCCTCTTGATCCTGGCTCAGACGGGATATATATTCCTGGTCGTGGGGTCCACGGCCAATCTTAACAGTGTTTGTGGTGTATGTGCTTACTGGCGATACTCTGCAGTGTTGTCAGCGCATATTCTGTATGAAGCACAAACGGTAAAACAAAATGTTAACATTTCTTCACTAAAGTATATAATTTATAAATAGTTCTTGCAGGCTATATTACTGTTTCTCCTGTTAATACCGAGAAGGATCACACGATAAATAAAGTATAGAAAATCTTAAAACAGCTGTTTTAAGACGGAGGTAACAGGTGTGTAGGGTGTTTGATCAACCCGTCTTCTCAAAATAACGTCGCTTTTCGCTTGTATGCGCACTATGGCCGAAAACTGACGTAATTTGAAATGAAATCCGCTCACGAAACTGATGTACTGTCCCGTTTTCTGTTTGGGTCCTCAGGCTTAGTTTTTGTTACGTTAGGAGAGGACGCTTTCAATTAACGTTTTTCATGACTTATGAAACTAGGAGAATTTCCTGCCCTTCTAACCTACCAGAGGACTCTTAACTTACTGTTTTGAAAAAAAAAATCCCAAATTTATTTTAATTTTTTTTAATTTTCAAATTACGTCAGTTTTCGGCCATAAATGCAAACGGCTAAATTGAGACGTAATTTGTAAGAGGCGGTAGAGGTCTCCTGGTGGGTGACAGGTGTGTGGGAGGGTTAAGGCTTCAGCGCACCAGCACCACCTGGAGGTCCAGCTGGGTACGGCACAGGTCCAACACATCCCCACAACTCCACCCCCCCCCCCCCTCCCTCCCCACAATCAGCACATCCACACCCTCCCTCCAAGCCGCTTACACAGTAACTTCAAAGCTCCGCTTCCTCGTAAAAATTTAGTATTCGCCAAATTACACTTGCTGCCCATAATCACAGTAAACTCTCGGTTGCCTTGTATTGATGAACTAATTTATATATCCTGTTAATTATATCGAGTTCTTTCAAGAAGACTTGTCCGGACGGACCGGAAGAAGCGTGACCTGGAGGCCGGCAGGACCTGCACACCAGGGGACGAGACCACGGTCACAGGGACTGTTGTTGGCCTCGTAGTCCAGTCAGTATTATTTCCCCTCACAGGTATTAACTGTTAAAATGCATATTACGCATAGCTAAAGGGCAGAAAACCTGTGGTGACTGAGCCAGGTGTGTGTGAAGGCCATACACACCTGACTGTCCCGGTAATAGAATGCTTCACAACGCGTGCAGAAAGGAGTGAAACTCCCGCACGAACATTACTGATAGTGAACCTCTCGCCACTTAGTAATTATCTCCACCCCACAACACTACTTCAAGGAGTGGCTGTGCTGAAGGTTCATTAGCCATATTTCAGCCTTATTAACTTCAGCATGACTGTTTTCTAACCTACTTTTCGTGTGTCGTCGGCTCCGTATTATATACACTTAACATACTTTTCATAAAATAATGAGTTTCGTTCAACCACCTTTGTCTTTGTTGAACATGTTCTATCCTTTAAAATTAACCTTCCTCTTATCCCTCTACCTGGTACTCTCGCACAATCTATATTAATTATCGTTGATGTTTCGCTAATCACTAATTAACATAATCGGAATCTTATGGAACATTATATAAATTACTTTGCATCATGGGACAAATAAATATAAATTGGCTGTTTCAAAATGCTAATAAGTATCCGTCTTAAAACATACTAACAGAGGTGTACTGTCCTATCGGTATCGGCAAATACGGTAACATAAGTCAGTATTGGTATCGGCTAAAATATTGGTATCGATACGCCTCTACCACTAAAAACATAAAATAACACAGAAAAGAAAATTCTGACTCAGGAGCTCGGATATCAGGTACCAAATGGAATATGAAATCATTCGAGAATCGGGTAAAGAGGTTTCTGATGATGTCTAATCTGATGTGCTTATGAGTTGCGGGGCGCTTCTTTATGCCAAAAAGCGGAATACACCATCATAAAGCTCCTACCAAGGATAAGCTCTCAGTGGTTCAAGACACTGAAAGTTCGAGTGGGGAGGAAGCTAGGCTCTCCACTCCATTCCAGGTTTTCAAGACCTGGTGTACGGCTGTGTGGTGGTGTTGAAAGTCTATACACTTCCAACACCATCACACAGCCATGGTGCTCACCTATTTGTGCCTGCAGGATCGATTGTTGGCTCTTGGATCCCGCCTTTCTGGCATTCGGTTGCTTAAAGCAATGACTCCTGTCCTCCCCTATTATACCTGGTTTTAAAAATATGAATAGTGTCTGATTCCACAACCTGCTCTTTTAGTTCATTCCATTTTCCCACTATCACGTTAAAAAAAATTTTCTAACATCTCTATGATACATCTGTGTTTCCAGCTTCCACCCATGTCCCCTTGTTCTGCTGGTATTCCAACATATAGGACTCGATTCCTGTAGACATGTCGTGCACGCATATTATAAATAGAACTGGTCCCAGCACCGAACCTTGAGGTGTTCTACTCGTTACTGTTCGCCTGTCTGACTTCTCGCCCCTGACTGTTACTCTCTGACTCCTGCCAGAGAGTAACCCTCTCCGAAACTTAATTACTTTGCATTTATTTGGAGCAAATTCCAGAAGCCATTTGTCTTTCAATATTTTTAGTTTAAGTCCTCTTGTATTATTGTTAAAATTTCTTTTCATTATTCTTCTCATCAAGTTTGCATCTTATGTAAACATTGTGATGAAGGATCTTACTTTCCCAGGAACGTCATTCACGTAAACCAGGAGCAGTAATTAGGCACAAAGGCGTGAGTCTTCAGGGACGACGCTGGCTACTTTTCTTCATCCTAACATTACTCTCTCACAAAATCCTGTTTTCTGTGTGTCAGATATTCTCAACTATTTCAGTATCTCCCCAGCTATTTCAGCTTGCGTTTCCATGGTTTCCATTATTTATATCAATCTTTGGTGATGAACAGTTTCTCAAACTTTTTGTCCACCTTAAGAGGTCGCACTCCATACAGTTTTCTCTCTACTCTCTTATCTTGTTGACAGTCAAATAATTTTCTAAGGCTCAACTGGAACGACTCGTCTTCTTAAAACTTGTCTTGACCTTACCGGGATGGCAATAGTGTCTTGTTATGTCGCTCCCGCCATTTCTTTCCGCCGTCCAAGTTGCTCTTGCTCTCTGGTACTAGCCATTGTAGAGGCTGAGTCCCCGTATCAACCACTCAGAGCGCTGTAGAGGCTGAGTCCCCGTATCAACCACTCAGAGCGCTGTAGAGGCTGAGTCCCCGTATCAACCACTCAGAGCGCTGTAGAGGCTGAGTCCCCGTATCAACCACTCAGAGCGCTGTAGAGGCTGAGTCCCCGTATCAACCACTCAGAGCGCTGTAGAGGCTAAGTCCCCGTATCAACCACTCAGAGCGCTGTAGAGGCTGAGTCCCCATATCAACCACTCAGAGCGCTGTAGAGGCTGAGTCCCCGTATCAACCACTCAGAGCGCTGTAGAGGCTGAGTCCCCATATCAACCACTCAGAGCGCTGTAGAGGCTGAGTCCCCGTATCAACCACTCAGAGCGCTGTAGAGGCTAAGTCCCCGTATCA